TATTAAGGAAACCGGCAAGGTTGGACAAAAATTTCCATTACTGCTATTTAACACAGTGGAACAATGTCGAACCAAGGGAACGTGGGCAAGATCAAAAATTGCATTGAAAGAAAACAGACTAATGACCCTACGAAAATAGAATCCGAATGCGAAAATAACTCCGGACCGATTGAATGCCCAGTGAGAAAAGATTCATGTCGTTGACTGAAAGACATGAACGGGTATAGCACGAAAGAGACGAAGGGAAAGGAATCGTTCTTTATTGAAGCATGTGAATATTTAAACGGAGACAGCGACTAGGACTTGTCATCATTTTTAAAGAAAACAATAAAGTAGGAACACTATCGTTGAATTGCATCCAAGCTTGTCAGCTTAAGATATAGTATGTGTCAACATTTCTTCGATCATATATGCACCTTAAGATCATTTTACAGTATATAACGACATGGCTGATAGTCTGTTTCACTTGTTGTTTTATACAGTGTCCCATGATGGGAGATCCAGCTCGATACGAAGCACATTTATATAAAAATTTTATATGTGGAATAAACCGTTTGGTGATTATGACGATTAAGAGTTTTCTCCCTCCATAAAGAATTCAGTAACTTCTGTACAATAAACAAGACAGAAATTGAGTTTAATATGATAGACAGAAAATGGTACTGGTATCCGAGCGGTGAGTCGATACGTTGTGCATGATTACGTGAAAACAGAAACATTTTTTAGTGAAACAAGATCCGATAGCAAATCGAGTTTTAAGTTTTAGACTTTGGGCCCATTGTTGGACTTGTGATTGTTTTTTCATGGCGTAGAGCACCTAACAACATCGATGAGGCTTACTACCTGGCACTAAACTTTTTACTCTCTGTCTTATCAGGTTTTATAAGTCATATATCATCAAAACAGCTATAAAATCAGACAGTGCCATTTAACAAAGGAACTTAGAAATGTCTGAAAAAGCGCTCTTGCTGTTTGTTACAACTGACTTGCACGAGTGTCCTACTCTTACAGACATAACCAGTCAGGACCTCGTAGACCTACTTTAAAACAAGCGGATTGAAGACTGGCTGGAATGTAGAAGACGGGAGGGGTTTTCAGGATGTTTGGCCGTACACGGTTCCAAGAGGAGTTGCAGAATCTACCACCTACGATGATAGGTCGTTTAGTGACAAGCCGCTTATTCTTAACACAAGTTCAGGGCCCCCTAGGTATCGCTATCGAGTCATATGCTGAGAGCCCATAGAAATTCATATCGGCGGTCTGTGTGGTGCAGTGACAGAGTTCACGAACAAACAAAATTTAAAATAAATGCTTCTTTTAGAGCGTCCCATATTCGCAGCACCTCTTTGCCTAAGATGCTCTCCGCAACGGAATGCCATTATTGACTGAACTTGTTCATGTCACGTAGTCAGCAGAAATGCAACCTCTCGATTTTTCGCCTGCTACACCTGTTTTGCTGTTTCCTTGTGAAGAGTCATGTCATTGGTCAATACGGGTCCGGCTGTAGTTTTGCTTTTGACGCAAGTCTACTCACGTGATTCAGACGTTTTGAATAGGGGTTGATGTAAGGTCAAACAGATACTAGCATAGAGAAAAAAATATCTTTGTCACATTGCAGTTACATGTGCCCGGCGGAGATTGAGGTGATTCGTTACTTCGTAATCGTTTCATTTAACTTTTATAATACGTCGAATCCAGAGCTTCTGTTCGTTGTTCATGCGTCGTTTTTGGTGGGAGCATCGGTCACCATGCTTGCAGCAACTGTGATCTGACCGAGGCGAATCTTCGTGGGAAGGGCTGCTCATTTTTCAAACAAATGATTGTATTGGTTGGAATTACCACCTCAAGAAAGCGTAATCCCAATATTTCATTTTTTTGGAGATGACGACAACGAGGTACGTTTGAGCTGGTCTATTCTTTTTCCTTAACGTTTTATGTCCCTGTCGTATGGATCTGCCTCAGACAAAATACATTCCTAAGTCTAAGTATTGTACCGGCTACATTCATGTTGTCATCCTTCTAAACAGCGAATGCCATTTGTCACTGTCATTCATTGGGTGGGGGTCAGATATTGTAAATCTGCATAATCTGCTCA